GTCTGAAAGTGGTCTTAAACAAGCACTTAGTGATTTTCATAGCCCCTTCTTTGCAATGTTTATCATCCCTCAATCCAAATATATCAAATGCAACAATTACCGGTATCCTTCTAACTTTTATTTTGCATTTGTGTAAAACACTTTATCCTAACCAATCACAAATGGTACTGTATCTATATAAAAAATCACTGACTGCTTATTTTTTGGTAGCATTTTGAGAGTGCTTATAGAGTAATGGAAATTTCACTTTTTACATCTGCTTAGTAGATCACATTATTTAATAATTATAACACATGGTGTTATGACTGAAGGTTGCTTCTAAGGTTATTCATGTTTTGAGGGAAGGTAATCATTTCTTAATTTGCTTAGCATTTCAATATGTACTAATCAACAGAAAATGTTGTACTATACTTGCAATGAAACAGATTTCAAAATTAAATTATTTTCACAAATCTAGATAGCTTTCATAGGAAACATGATTGTATTTACTTTCTACTCAAAAAGCTACACTCTGACCCATGTGACAGAAAATGTGAAAATATACCATCATTTTGATACTTCACTAAAAGGTAAAATACAAAATGCTCTTCACCTTGATGAAAGTTACAATACATGAAACATTTTACTCTTTAAGATCATGTGCACAAAAAAATATCCAAGAAAATGTGTTTACACCTTGGAGTCCATATTTACTGCCTGCAGTAAAATTGTATCTTTGAAAAAATAGCTCCCTACAGTGAAGAATCAAAATAATAATCTTTCTCATAAAAAATACTGCCATATAAAAACTGATGCAACTGCTAAAAGATCCTAATCATGCACAACATATACACTCAATAATTCAGAAAAAATATCTGCATGCCAAGCTTATTCACAAAGCCATAAATACTTAATTACCTGAGTCTTTCATATGCTTTAAGAAGCTGGAAAAGACCTAAGGTAAATATAATATAGAAACAGTAAATACTACTTTCTTTGTTGACCCCTTCATATGTCCATTAGATAAAAAAAAAAAAAATCCAGTTTTCAACACATTAGCTTGGATTTTCTGGGAGAACTACTGAATCCATTAAATTTATTTGGTTTATAGGCAACATAAAAAGTTGACAAAATAACTAAACTTTGCTGAGTTGAAAACTGGTAAATGTGGCTTTGTGAGGCTGTGCTGCTGCATTACCTGCCATGCTAATGAGTAACTGGTGGAAGTGCTCTAGTTCAGGAGAGAGGGAGTCCACACAGGCAGTGGCATGCACCGGGGGACCTCCTCCACCAACCTGCGCCGCGTCTCTCCTTGGGGACACTGCTCCCCCTTCCACTGCTGGGGCAACGGGAGCCTCAGAGCCCCCCCCTGATCCCCCTGGCCCCACACCAACCACTGCTTGACTACTACCACCACCAGAGCCTACTGTCTGGCTCCCACTGGCTGGTGTCTTTGATATTGTGATGCCAAATTTGACTGTCTGAGGCCCAACCTTTTGTGGTTTAACCTCTACACTGATTGGTGTTCCAGGTTCTACTGACACACCTTGGCCCCCAGCCCCTACACGTGTCACCAAGTCTTTCTTTGGGGGAACTGCTGGTTTGTTTGGGGGTATAGGGGGTGCTGCCAATGGTTTGTTTGAGGGTACAGGTGGTGGTGGTCCCCCAGGCTGAGTAGATCTGGCTGGGGGGGGTGGCTTCTTGGTCACCGTCATTGTTTGTGGAGGGACCTGTTGTTGTTGCTGACCATTGGATGCTGATGAAGCAGATGTGGCTGTTGAGGTGGGAGCATTTGTGGTGACATGGAAGGTCACCTTTCCCCCATGGGTTGTGGTGATGACCTTTGTGCCAGGTGATGCAGAAACATTGACCCGTGGGGTCACTTGCACCACTTGAGCTTGGCCTCGAACTTCTCCAGGCCCAGTAACCCGTACCAATCCACGCTCCACAGTGCCTGCTACTCCACTTTGTGCATTGGTGGTCCCCTCACCTTCACCACTGCCTGTCCATCCACCCTCACTTTCACTTACGCTGAAAATAAAAAAATAAATGTCAAAATAGATGAGTGTACTTAAATCTAGGGTAGACTTATAATCAATGTCGAAGCAAGGCCAATCAATGTTTCACATTTCCAAAAAATTCAAAAAATAGAAATATGAAATGCTCACTTCTCAACTCCAAATATACACAGCACAGCAAAATATCTTTAAATGGGAAAAATATTCAAAATACTGTAAGAGAAAATTAAGGAGAAAAACAACAGGTAAACTTAAATCTGTTACGAGCAATACATGGGTGAGTTACTCTCCATGAATGAAGCCACATAGAAGATAAAATGACAACATACCCTGGCTATAGTCTTGTGTCTGCTGCTGGCTGCCGGGACATAACTCAGGTCAATACTCAGTGATACTCGGACAACAGGTGATCAGTGCTCAGCAACACCCACACAAATGCAGTCATGATCAAGACTCAAGTGATAGTCATGCAGGCTTGCATCAACACTCTACTGTATACTCTTGAGACACTTTCTGGTCAGAATTGGGTGTTACTCAAGTACAAAAGGAGTCAATAGAAGACCTTATTTCATATGACATAACATACTTACAAACACACACACAAGCACACACTCAGCTATACATATTCTGATACAAATAACACATCTTAAATATATGCCACTCTACTTACCTCATTCACTATGTAATTGCTCCACTATACCATAACCTATAACATCCTTGCAAAACTGCTCCCAAACTTCACCTATAACATTTGATAAAGCACTCACACACATGCTTTAAAAATCTAAATGGTGATTAAAGCATTACGAAAGTACATGAGAACACATGAAAGTGAATGAAAGATTCTGTTCACCAGCCAAGCTGACAACAATTTTTTTACAGATGATGACTGGTCACCTATCAACAGGCAGTCCTCCCTAACAGTTCCAAGACTGAGACAAAATAAGACAAGATCTAAAGAGGGTCAACTCTATTGTGTAACTAGCATTAGGGCTGGGTTTCATGTCATGAATAATCTTGTTCCATAAACTATAAATTAAAAATCACTTTTACTTTTGAGGGCTTTCTTCTCACTGACCACAGCCAGTCCCAAACAAGTAATTAACCATTTAGCCTGCACATCTTAGAGCAGACTCGATCTTGCATGGCCTAATAGGATGGCACCGGCATTAGTGATGGTTTCACCATGATGGTATGAAGGCATCCAGCCTGAGTGGGTTAAAGAACAAAAGGGGTACAAAAAAAATAAATTTCAACATAACCTCCATCTTAATCTATTTTCTTATCAACCTTCTGATGCTTTGTTGAAAAATATGAAATGACAATAATTCAGTCTCTGGTTATCAAGTGCATATGTATTATGAGCCCAATAAAACCTCATATTACAATCTGTGATGTTGGTTGACACCACAAATTCACCAATCCTCTTCTGTCAAGCTAATCAGGTGGATTCTGTGGTCCATGCAACATGGTTGAAATTCCCATTATTTAAAAGGTATAATTAAATACTTATCTTGACTGTGCCAGATTCATCATGCCTACGCAATACTTTTCGCCACTCCCTCAAACACATGATATCTAGTCAAAGAAAGTAAATTGGAGGTTGCAATCCAGTTCCATTTTTCCTATCATTTCTATCCTTCCCCATCCTAATACTACCCTATCTTTCTTCAACAATCAACTTTCTTCAACAATCTCTGCATTATCTACACTTGGAGAGCCAAATTAAAGACTTTTGTTAATCTATTTGAGTGCCACTTGCAGAAATATCCAAATAAAGACTTCTTTAGCACCAGGATGTCATTTAATTTTACCCCAATGTGAAATGGCAATTTCAATATTTCACAGCAAAATACTCAAGAAGCCAACCACTCAAAAAATCAACTGCAACATTCAAAGGGTTGAGGAAACACTAAATTTTGCAGTTATATTTCACCCCTTAGATCCGGTTGCTTCACGGCTATCACATAGCCCAAAATATGGGCATCAGGCTTATGTGAATGGCTGCTCTGCTGGGTGCACAGCTTGTAGGCCAAGCATACACAAACATTCATGTTTTAACAACTCTCCATGATTTTGGCATGCCAATATATTACTACCTGATTCTTTATTCTAGCTATCTATTTTTTCCCCAATTTAATATTGCAGTAAAACTGTTACAAATCTTTGTTGTTCTGTTTGGGTATTAACCCCTTCCTGACAGGTCACGCTGTGAGGCATCATAACAAAGCACTTGATCTATTGAGTGCTGCTGTACGTCGCTGCGACGTGCCAAAGCGCTACAAGCCAGTGATTTGACTTGATGTACCGAATTCCCGCACTTAAAGTCGGCAAGTTTTTTGTTTTGTTTTTTCTTCACCCATCAGTAAGGGGTTAATAATGAATAATGTTCTTCTGCCCAAAAGCTATCAATATATACTTTTGATCAATTTGCACAAAGAATATCCTTTTTAAATTAATGGTCCCCTTGAGGTTCCCTGGTTGGGAGTTGAATGGCATGGCTGCCTAGGTAATGGTCCAGGATAATGGGCACCTTGAGGAATATGCCTACATGTCAGAGTACTGGCTACTAAGATAGGAAGAACATAGTTGAATCCCATCACCTGTGGTAAATTTGGACTGAATTGCCAGTGCAGATCAGTCTGTCACATTCAAAGATGTTCAAGAGGATGTAGTATGATGCTGGATCATTTAATTCTAGAGTGATAATGTAAAAATAACCCAGCCCTGACTAGTGTGCTGTGCTAAAAGGAGCTGTTTATTACATAATAATAATGAAATCTTGGAATTAACTTTGGGCATTTCATAATGTTCTATTTATGTTATTTAAAAGGTTTCAGAAAGTCACCATTCATAAATATATGCTTAATAATTGGATGTCATTTTCCTAAGAGCTAAAACTTATTTAAAAAGAGTAAGGCCTTTCAATTATGTAGTTCACTATTCATTTATTTAAAAAAATACCTGCTGATCAATCACATTTTTACCAACATCCATCCTTAGAGAAAAAAAGTTATATGCACTGCAAACAATGTGCCTTCGCAAACATACAATGCAAGTCAGTCTTGTCAGAACAATGAACAGAGGAGTTACCATGTAATGCAAAATGACTTCTACTGATTTTTTAAAAGGAATTTATGATTCAGATGCATTACATCATTGAGAAGCCACTGGCAGACCATGTGGGTTGTAATTGAGAGGGATGAACGAGTATTGTGGCAGATGTTAGAGAAGTACAAAAAAATTAAATAAAAATAAAAAAATTTAAAAAAAATAAAAAAAAAACACTGGGAATAGACAGGGGACCTGTGGGCACTTACAGGTTTCACAGATTTCTATCCCACATAGTGCTAAATGGGATGATTTTTAGCGACTGTTTGTATAGCCCAAAACAAGGTCATCTATTGCCATACATCAGACTTTTTGTATAGTCATCTCTTTAACTAGTCTGATATTTGGCAATAAAAGATTGCTGCTTGATATATACAATCAACCACATAAACCCCCACAAAAACTTCTTAACTGATCTTACCTATAACTTTTAGCCGCAGTAGTAACAGTTCGAGTAACTTCTGACGTAGATACACTATACATAACTGGTCGGACACCAACTCCAGGCTGGACTCCACGAGCGATACCAGTAGCTATAAAATATACCTTGATTGTAAAAAGAACATAATGCAGAAAAAATCTGCAAGAAAACCTTTCTTGTTAATAATTATAAAAACACCATTTAAGCCATTCACAATGGGAAAAACTTCCAGTAAAGTTTGGTGAGCACAGGGTGCATTAGTGCACACTGCTCTGCACCTTGGTGACTGTCTGGCTCACAAGCTGTCATCCTGTCCACTGGGAAATAGACTTATAATGCTACTGGGCATCATTCAGCATTTAGGATTTTTCACCATGATGTGGTGCAAAATCATTCTTCATGAACAAATCAATAAGTTTGTCAAGTAAATCTTAGCTTAAATCAAAATTCACTATCACTAAAATCAATAAAAACAAATATATAAAGATATAGAGGTTTATGTATTTAAGTCCATATATGTGTTTACTATTAACCCATTGGATCTGGCTGCATCACAGCAATTACATCACAAAAAATTCATGCATTAGGCTTACGTGAGTGGCAGCTTGTATGCCAGGTGCATGCGAACACATGTATAGTGTGACATTTTTTTCCTATTTGCAAAGTTATTTACTTTTACGCATAGGTGTTTTTCGTTTTTGGGCCATTTTCCAATGCCCATATTTGTTATTTGGTTTGCATTAACCAGATGGTAATGTATTGTTTTCTTTGCACAGACCCCACATCATCTCTCTGGGTAATCTGAAACTCAGTGCAAGAAAATGTAACACTTACTTATTTGTGTCTTTTTTTTTTAATCTTTAGATAATATTCAATTACCTGTAGTACAACCTGCATCGCTGCTCGCAGCACCAGGAATACCATGCAGAACATGGAAATGGATCCTCCATTGAGCTGAGGCTCTTCCAGTCACAGCTCACAGACATTACATTGCACACTTGCACATCGATGGGAATAATGCAAAATCACAAAGAGGTTTCTGCACTTGCAGCAAGTCTTTTCCATTACCTCCGCCCTCAGCCAAAATGCTCACGAAGGCAGGTTTGCATCACCTGGCCTAAAGCCTGATTTTCCCCTGAAGGTACGTTCACATCACCCACCCTTTGAGCCAGATTTTTTCATGACGTGATGGTCACGTTACCAGGATCCAAGGGGTTATGCACAGTAAAGACATGCTGCCTTTGGATTTAGACATTAAAATTGTCCTCCACTTACAAATTTATACTCTTTAGTGAAACTGCTTAGAAAGCAGCTCTGAAAACATTTCAATGCTATATGTAAACAGTATGTATCACTGGATAATAACACCAAGATTTTTTTTTTTTCATAAAAAAGTAGATTTGTTGGCTCTGGAATTCATTACAGCATTCTGATCAATCTTTGTAGAGCTTTAAAGGATTTCTTTTAGTCATAATTTCAGAAGATGGAATATAGTAGAGTAAAATTTCTAGTGAAAATGTAGAACATTTAAAGAAAACCATTTTCATGTTCAATTAGATAATGAATTGTATTTTTATAAAGTTTTCTTACTCTTATTCATGTCCAACTTTATAATTTTTCTTTAAAATGATGTTCAAGAAGGCCCCTTTTAGATCTTGTTAATGTGCTAATTGCTGGATTGGTCTTGGGTGACTTACTCTATTAACCGCACGCCACCTTTCGAGCGATTTGTTTACACGCGTATCGCCGTCACCCGGCGGCAAGGGGTTAAGCTAGGGTAATAGCTTGGAGTTGTTGGTCTAAAAAGATCTCTAATGAAATTATGAACTTACAAAATTATAACCAGTTCAAATTTTGGTTATTTTACAAAATTATGATGATTCTCTAACATTTTGACCTTCATGACATAAAAATTCTTTTATATTGCTATTTTACATCCTTGAGGAGTCACATTGCAACTGTAACTAAAGA